CGCCTCTAATTGTAATTCGTGCTTCCTATTCATAGTATTGACTTTCTTAAACCGTCAACTTCCATGATAATGTATCACAAAGCTAGTTTGTCTTAGGGAAAATTAAGCAAATAGATAATATATGAAAAGTAGCTCAAACTAAAGTAGATAGTTAGAGAAATACTAATATCGAGAATAGAAATGGCCGTTTGGTTACTTGCCTCGTCCTCCAATGATAATGGCAACAAGCCAAGAGGGCGTTCAAGCAGAAGTAGGCTCTGTGGTGGTATTTCAACAAAGAGGTTAGCTGCGAATTTTTCGGCCTTACAACCATCCAAATTTGATAAATTCCTTCTTTCATCCGCGGAAATTATAGACATTACCAGGGGCCAGGCCTGTGCTGACTCGGCTCGACATGTAGTGTACTGCCGACCGTCCGCTCCAGTTGGCAAGAGCGCAATGGGTGACATAACAAGTAGATCATCGGCCCAAAGTTCGTGAGATGGAACCACGTTATGTCTGACTTGCACCCAATTGGTCGTCATGGGATTCACTTTCAATGTTTTAGGACATGAATAGGTCTGGAAACCAGATTTCTCTAATTCAGGGTGGGTTGAGACTAGAGGGACTAGCTCGAGTGGTGGCTGCTTCACGTCAGACGAGGCAACCACTTCAGGCTGGGATGAAACAGCCCCTGATGAAGACTGATTTACGGAAGGAGTGGTGGTGTGAAGATGCAGTCTTTTTTCTGGATGAGAGGTTTTTGGCAAGGCTCGAACAAACCTGAATCCCCCAACGTGTTCTAGTGACGGAAGATTTGCCTAGATTTGTTAAGAGATGTTGAATAAAATAAGAAAGGAAAGGAAACACAATGAGGTTGATCTAAAGAAGCGAATGGTACAAGCTGCGTGAAGATATTTAGAAACCCTTTGTACAAAGAAGTCTATAAAATAAATATGTAAAAAGCTGGGATTCGAAGAATCCAATTGTGAGTTAGGATGCTCGACTTCAAATCTTGAAGGAAAATTTGGTTGGAAGGAATTTTAAATTGGTCACATCGGACTTCCATAAAGTGAAGACTGCTGGAATACGTGAAGAACTCCTCGGCTCACTATCCTGCGATTCCCAAAAACCAGTAATGAATTTTCGTTTGTACCCCTGTGACAGACTGCCTTAAAATGAGAAACGATACTAAATTAAAAACCTCATCGATATACTAAACTGAAAGAAAAGTTATGGTTTTACATAGAGTATGACGTCTGGCTCGGAATGCATAGGATGACGATATCTGTCACATGAAGGAGGAAAGCTTAGCAAAGGTCAGTGAGCCGAGGACTTCTTGGTACAATCAAATAGTCGTCTCTCCTTCGATTTCCGATGAGACTAATCAGAATTTTCTTCTCACCAAAAAGTCAAGTCACACTAAATCTTTACGAGGCTCTTTTTATACGATAAGATAGAATAAGTTAAGCCAGAAACATGCAATGAACTGCAAAGTGATAAAAAAGGCATGTGAAAGTTGAACCCAAGCAACAAACCCATACATTGTTTCTAAGAGAAGGATGGTTCAGAATCCGATAGCAAGTAGTGGAGGAAAACTGGGAATATTCTCTGACCTGGTAACTTTTAAGCACAAGTTGTGCCCCCAAATAATATCTTAATAATAAACACTTCAAAGCAATATCAGAAGTAAAAATTGTCAGAATAATTTTGTAATCAAATACATGGATTG